ATGAACAACATACCTTGACATACAGATTATTAGAAAAGAAGTTGCTGACCACATTTCAACACAACTAATTTATTCCCATGTGTTTTTGATAACACTAAAGCTGCAGAAGAAGACTGATTAAAGGAATAGTTCACCCAAAACTATGTATTCATCCTCAGGCTATCAAATATGTAGATGAGTTTGTTTCTTCATGGGAACAGATTTGGAGAAAGCATTATTATATTAGCATTACATCACTTGCTCACTAATGGATCCTGTGCAGTGAATGGGTGCCGTCAGAATGAGAGTTTAAACAGCTGATAAACAAATATATAATTATATTCAGTTTACATGTATTATTCACATACATGAAATATTTATATGTATTATACTCTGTGTAAGAGAGACTTACTGTATTTAGATGCATAACATATACAATATACTACAATTAAATTTTTTAAGAAATTAATACTTTTATTTAGCAAGAATGCATTAAATTGAGCAAAATTGACAGTACAGATACTTACAATGCTACAAAATATTTCTATTCCAAATATGCTGGTATTTTTAACTTTTTATTTATCCAAGAATCCTAAAAGAAATGATCATTTACACAAATAAAAATAAAAAGTATTTTCAGCAAAAAAAAAATAAAATCTTACCCCAAACTTTTTAACGGTAGTGTATTTACTATATATATTTTTTTATAAAGTCCACAAAAAGTGTTTTTTTATTTATTTGGAATGCTGAAGTTCTCTTTGTCAAGAGTTCGTTTGAATTATATGGAGTTATGTTTAAAAAAATTATTAATATATGGGTTTTATTAATGGGAAGAATGCACCAATAGTGAGTGTGTTTAGTACAGAGTGTCTCCTAAAACTCAAAAATAGTGTATAAAAGAAGTGTAAAAACAATAAATGATGTGAAACTTGATGTCTCAGTTCGGTGAGTTTATATATTCTTTTTACCAAGGTATTATTGCATGTTATACAAATATCACAATTTATTAGACATTTAATACACAGTAAGAGTTAAACCTGATTGTTAAATGTAAAAATGCATGTGACACTGAACAAGATCAAACTTCTCAGGAAAGAGTTTTAACAATTTGTGTTGTGTACGTCCATGCTCAGGTGTAACAGTACAGTACACAAGACATCAAAATGTCCCCAAACACACACAGCGGATTGCATTTCTAACCAAAAATAATAATCACTTCTTTTAAAAGGGAACACATTTTTCATTCACTGTTAAGTTTTTCATTTCCATCCAAAATAGCACCAAAATATCTCTAGCTAAATAAATACTCTTGACATTTAGTAAAAAATATAAAGCAAAGCTGTTCTGTCAACAGTGCAATCATATGTACATACAGAAGAATATATCGTTCAAAACAAAAACTGCGTAGGACCCCTTATGTGGACTGTAAAATACTGAAGGTGTTAGTTTCATTTAATGGCTTGTGTTAGTGGGAAAATATATATAAAAAGCTAAGCAGGAAAGACTTTCAAGTGTCCAATAATGAAATGGGAAGCTGAATGGCAATGGTCCTTTCACAAACACCAGAAGACATCTTCTTTTTTTATATTAAACAGTACTTTAAAGATGTGCCTTGTGGCCAGAAGGGTCTATTAGAAACTATGTATAGAAAACTATGAAATAAGGGGGTGTTTTAACATTAACTACTGACTGAAGTCTTATATCCTCCTGCCACATTGACCTGCTAATGCTAGCTTTTGCCACATGGACATGCATATCCTCAGGTAACCCAAGATGACACTAAAATGTTTGTTGGCTCAAGTTATAAACTCTTCAGACAAATGAAATTTTAGTTCCCTCAGCTTGTTGACTAAAAACGGCGAGCGAGCTAGTTGTTGTAGTTCAACCGGCAGAGCATAGCATTAGCAAGGCTAACATTCCCCTTAAGTAAATTAACTGTGGTTTTATTATAGTAACCATGTTTTTTCCCCCCAGATTTATTGCCATTTGTATAACCACAGTTTAACTACAAATACCATGGTTAAACTATGGTTAGTGTAGCAAAACCATGGGTAATTTATTATTAGCTACCTGATCTCATGACGAAAACATACCTGTGGGAACTTTTTTGCAAGACGCGAAATACGTAACGTTACCAATAAGTACACATCACTGCCGTTTCCAACAGAAATGAACACTAGTGGAGGTAAAACAGCGAGCACTTGTAATCGTTTTCGTACACAGTTATGATTACAGCTCCATACTGTATGTTTTGATTTCCGGACGTAACAAGCTTGCTCGGTCAGGAATCCTGTGAAAAACATGACTCACGATGAAAGAGCTCATAGATGACATATCGAAAAACAAGCTAAAACGGCATGCTTGAGATTGCGTTTTTGTGTCACATTCGCTTTTGTTCATACTATCAGGTAGGTTAAGTTAGGTGTAGTGGTAAGGTTAGGTGCTGTGTAGATGGTACGTTATTTTAAAACGTCACAGCGCCACTCAGCAGACATTTCAAGTCAGAACTGTGGTGACACGTACAAAAACCAACGTCGTATAAAACGTACCATGTGTACGTTAATCTGTTCCAGGGAAAAAAAACGGAACAATCATTTAGCGCCACTCAGTGGACATTTCACATTGAATATGTCCCGAAACTTACATGTCTCTACGTATTTCGCATCTTGCAAAAACGTTTTCGTCCTGCGTCACCAGAGTGGTTTAACTACAATATAACCATGCTTTTTTTTTTTGGTTTTATTTGTAGTAAAACCACGGTTCATTTTCAAAAGGGGCATATTGATAACATGACTTGAATGTCGCTTGAGATGTGTCTCTCAAATTACTAAATCTTCCTAATCATTTTGCAAATCAACAGCTAAAAAATATTGTCTTGGTTTCCTCTAGTTCCTTAATTCAGTTAAAAAGCAATAAACAGTAAAGATGTAGTCACATTAGCAAAACTGCGGTAATATTTCGCAGGAAAAAGGTCTATTGTTAACAGTGTGTGAACCAGTTGCGAAATCTGCATGGTAAAATCTCACCTTTAAGTGAAATCGCTTGGATTTCTATTGAAATGACTGGATTCCACCCACACACACACACACAAAAATCACCAAATAACGATAAATGTGACTGGATCTTAATTTTGCACAATGCTTGGTTTAAAATCAAAGTGTAGAAAACTTTGGAAAAAGTTGGTCATTTGTTGATTTCTATACAGAAAAAAACCCGTACCTACCTGCCACAGCAATAGCAATTTAGCTGTCTGCTGCTACCAGACATTCCTATTTGATTTTACTGGATTATGTGAGTTTTGTTCTTAAGGTTTAGTATTCATGATATGTTTTGGTTAAAAATGGCATACTAATAATTGTAATACCAATATAATATTGCGTTGATAATGTTTTGATATGCGCAAACATAAAACTTGCTGACACTAAGGAGAAAATTAACATTGTTATATACAGGTGCATCTCAATAAATTAGAATGTCGTGGAAATGTTAATTTATTTCAGTAATTCAACTCAAATTGTGAAACTCGTGTATTAAATAAATTCAATGCACACAGACTGAAGTAGTTTAAGTCTTTGGTTCTTTTAATTGTGATGATTTTGGCTCACATTTAACAAAAACCCACCAATTCACTATCTCAACAAATTAGAATATGGTGACATGCCAATCACCTGCAAAGGTTTCCTGAGCCTTCAAAATGGTCTCTCAGTTTGGTTCACTAGGCTACACAATCATGGGGAAGACTGCTGATCTGACAGTTGTCCAGAAGACAATCATAGCCTCCCTTCACAAGGAGGGTAAGCCACAAACATTCATTGCCAAAGAAGCTGGCTGTTCACAGAATGCTGTATCCAAGCATGTTAACAGAAAGTTGAGTGGAAGGAAAAAGGGTGGAAGAAAAAGATGCACAACCAACTGAGAGAACCGCAGCCTTATGAGGATTGTCAAGCAAAATCGATTCAAGAATTTGAGTGAACTTCACAAGGAATGGACTGAGGCTGGGGTCAAGGCATCAAGAGACACCACACACAGACGTGTCAAGGAATTTGGCTACAGTTGTCGTATTCCTCTTGTTAAGCCACTCCTGAACCACAGACAACGTCAGAGGCGTCTTACCTGGGCTAAGGAGAAGAAGAACTGGACTGTTGCCCAGTGGTCCAAAGTCCTCTTTTCAGATGAGAGCAAGTTTTGTATTTCATTTGGAAACCAAGGTCCTAGAGTCTGGAGGAAGGGTGGAGAAGCTCATAGCCCAAGTTGCTTGAAGTTCAGTGTTAAGTTTCCACAGTCTGTGATGATTTGGGGTGCAATGTCATCTGCTGGTGTTGGTCCATTGTGTTTTTTGAAAACCAACGTCACTGCACCCATTTACCAAGACATTTTGGATCACTTCATGCTTCCTTCTGCTGACCAGCTTTTTGAAGATGCTGATTTCATTTTCCAGCAGGATTTGGCACCTGCCCACACTGCAAAAAGCACCAAAAGTTGGTTAAATGACCATGGTGTTGGTGTGCTTGACTGGCCAGCAAACTCACCAGACCTGAACCCCATAGAGAATCTATGGGGTATTGTCAAGAGGAAAATGAGAAACAAGAGACCAAAAAATGCAGATAAGCTGAAGGGCACAGTCAAAGAAACTTGGGCTTCCATACCACCTCAGCAGCGCCACAAACTGATCACCTCCATGCCACGCCGAATTGAGGCAGTAATTAAAGCAAAAGGAGCCCCTACCAAGTATTGAGTACATGTACAGTAAATGAACATACTTTCCAGAAGGCCAACAATTCACTAAAAATGTTTTTTTTTATTGGTCTTATGAAGTATTCTAATTTGTTGAGATAGTGAATTGGTGGGTTTTTGTTAAATGTGAGCCAAAATCATCACAATTAAAAGAACCAAAGACTTAAACTACTTCAGTCTGTGTGCACTGAATTGATTTAATACACGAGTTTCACAATTTGAGTTGAATTACTGAAATAAACTAACTTTTCCATGACATTCTAATTTATTGCGATGCACCTGTAGGTATTTGTGCAAATGGTCTTGGGTTTTCGCTAGCACCAAAATGTAATACAAACGAGAAGACATAAAGGAAGTCATGTTAGACTGAGCTATGTGGGAACGAATCCAGTGAAGTAAAAAGTTCACAGCCTGCAGTTCAACAAAAACGGTCACAAATTATGTCCTTTTTATCTTCTCCAAAAAAAGTGACCAAAAGCATCTCAATCACTTCCACTGCAGTGACCTATTGATGTGCATTCCCAGTGCAGTTTTTTTTTGGAAAACACGAGAGACTTGTGTCAGTTGTTCTTCATGCAGACACCGCATAAGCTGATGCTGTCGCGCTGGTTCTGTCCGTTGAGCACAGTTCTGTCGGGAACCGAGTCAAATTGCTCCACGCTCGCTCTGGTCAGCCAGAAACTGAAGAAGGTGGGGGAATACTGGCACGTGCCATACGAACCTTGACACTCCACGAACGGTTGACTGCGGAAGTCCTGCAAACAGCTTCCTGTCGATGTCAGAGACTGTCCACCTCCCTCGTCCCCTGATCCTGTATGCTGGAACAAAGAAATGAAGATGCATCATGTGATTTATTCAAAATGTAAAGAGAAGTCCCTTTTGCTCACCAAGGCTGCATTTATTTGCAATATTGTGAACTATTTTTACAATTTAAAATAACTGTTTTCTATTTTAATATATTAACAGATGTAATTTATTTCTGTGATGCAAAGCTGAATTCAGTATTCAGATTTCAGGATTATTATTTGATTAAAAATTTCAAAAGAACAACATTTATTAGAAGCAGAAAACGTCTGTAAAATGATGAATCAATTTAATGTTATCTTAATCAAAGTATTAATTTCTTGTAAAAATCATTTGAAATTAAATGAGAAATAAAAAACAGAAACTAATTCAAAATATTAAAAAAGTCTCAAAATGAATCTTAAAAAAACATTTTCATTTCTTGAAATATACATTAACTAAAATAAAATTAAATATAAAATGTCCACTAGTTGATTTCACTAGTTAAAAGCTAGCCAAATAAACATTTCCCATTTTTATTAATAAATGAATAAAATGAAATAAATGAATAAAAACTATACAGACATATTTTTAAAATAATAATAAAAATGACAAAACAAACAAAATGACAAATGTTAACTAAAGTTATGAAAATTAATACAAATGAATTCAAAATATTAAAACAACAATAGTATTTCAGTGATACTAAAATAACACTAGATATTATATCACAGCTCTGTTGAAAATATTAATATATTTAACATTTTAATCAAAGTATTGTTTTCTTTAAAAAAATCTTCTGAAAGGCAGTATACATAGACTAATGCTTATAGATTATTCTGACTGAAAATGATACTAGCATGTTGGTAACATAATATCATACTGGTCATACTGAAATGGTTCATGTTTAACTAAATGTCTAAGTATATGTCTAAGTATATTAATATATATTTTATTCAGTAATACAAAATATTTTCTTTATTTAAATATATTATTTGTGTGACATTTCCTTTACCAAAATGAGGTAATTTAAGGCTTTCGCAGTAGGAAACATCTAAATCTAAAACATCTCAAAAAAATTCTGATAGGCAGCTTACTGGGGTTTGGAACATAGTCATACTTCTCTTTCCTTACCATAAGGAATGAATATCCAAACCAGAGTCTGCTCCAATTGGATGGACACCTTGGTCGAGTCCCGTTTTGACTGTGTAATGTAATGGTTGGCGATGACGCCTCACACACCACACATCTGCTGATGTGTTGCTGAATTTCCATCCCCCTCAGAATGGAATTCATGGGAATTGAGGCAGTTGTAGACAGCCAATAGGATTTGTCATTGCGACTGGCATAATCACAGGTGTCCATATTACAGCAGGAGAATGGCATGGTGCTGAACATACGCAAACATGAACCTGCCTGGCCTGGTGAAAATAAATTTGAACATTGTTGTTATCACTGTTATTAAAATTAACTGAAACTCTTAACGTTAATGGAAATAAATACAAATCATTTTATTTCAGCTAGTTGCAAAAGCAGCACTAAAATTAAAACGGAAATAAAAATGAATAAAAACTATATAGACATCTTAATAAAACTAATAAAAATGACAAAAACAACAACAAAACTACTAAAGCTTTCAAATTAAAATGATAACAGAAAATACAAAAAATGTAAATTAATTTAAAATCTCAAAAACATGGTCGTTATTTAATACAATACAGACTAATTGACAGACTAATTGAAATAAAATTAAATATAAAAATCAAAAACTTCTGCTAGCTGCCAAAGCATCATTTCTCATATTCATTTAGTTTAACTTGATGCACTAAAATAACTAAAATTAAAACTCAAATATAATAAAAAAAATATATTATAAAATATAATAGAAAATATATCAAAATATTTTAAATAAAAAAAACAAGAAAAGCACACAACAAAATGACTAAAACTTTAACCAAAAATAAAAAATAAATAAAATAATATTAAAATGTATAATACAAAATAAAAAACAATTTCAAAATATAAAAAACATAATATTCTCAAAATTAATCTAAAAAATTAAATAAACTTGAAATAAAAATAACTATAAAAATCTAGTTGATTTTTACTAGTTTCCAAAGCAACATTTCTCATTTTCATAGAGTTTAACTTAATGCACTTAAATAACTCAATTTAAAAACTTAAATAAAATTAATAAAAACTATACAGACTATTAAAAAAAAACAACAACAGCTAAATTACTAAAACAATAACTAATGTTATGTAAATAATAAAATAAAATAAAACAAACAACAACAATAAAAAAAAAAACAATTCAAAGGATTTAAAAAAACTATAGTATTTCAATGATACTAAAATAACACTGGTTGTTATATAATCGGTTCCAAAACCCAGTCAGCTGACCAAGACAGCATTTTATGAAATCATAGGTGCTTTTGAGTATGAACATACCCAGGTCTTGTGTGTGTGCTCTCTCTTGACCCTCCAGATATAGTAGGCTGTAGCCATTCCATAACTCTGTTAAGCCTTTAGGACAAGTGGGCACAGTCTCAGACTGGCTGTGCTTCACCAAAAGAAAGCCGGAGGACAATGGTCCAGGAGGACCCTGATCACCATCTGGTCCTGGGGGTCCTGGGATAGAAAAAGAAATGTATGGACAAATGGTTGGGTTGATGAATGGGTCGATGTGAGTCATTCTGGATAAAATATCTGCTAAATGAAAGAATGCAAATGTACTGGATGAATGATGGCAGGAGGAAAGAGGATATAACAGTGTCAGGCTCAATTGGGTCAATAATTACTGCATGGTGTTAAGGATACACACAAACATACCCCGAGAGCCCCCTTCTCCTTTCTCGCCGCTCTCTCCAGGGCTTCCAGGTAGTCCGACTGGTCCTTCGGTCCCAGAACTTCCAGAGAATCCAATATCTCCATTTTGTCCCTTTATACCTGAGCAAAAATAGGCAGTGTTCATTCCAAACATTTACCCTCATTTGCACTTCTGCATGTACACACCTCAAGATTTTGACATTAATGGCATCAAACGTTATAGGTTTTCACTCATACGAACTTAATGTGATATATCTGAATGTTTTGAAATCGAGAAAACTGTTTTCGACTACTTCAATAAAGAATATACAGTGTTTTGTGCAACTATAAAGTTAGAGTTATATATTTATATTTTTACATTATGTGTGTGTGTGTATATATACACATTGAAGAAGTGTTATTTTGGTATTATTTATATGTTATAAAACAGTTAAACAGCACTGACACAGGGTCGGCTTAGATGGCGGCATGACCAAGTGCTCAGGAAGCTGGCAGAGGTGCTGGAGAAAAGTCGGCAGGAGGCAAATAATCAGAGTCCATTAGAGAGTCAATGTAAGATCCACTTCCTCAGGCAGGGGGAACCCGCAATGCATACCAGTAAGAGACCACCCGCCAAGCTATTAACACCAGGGGCGGGGTGGAAGATGGAAGTAGACCTGGGAAGGCAGCTCCAGTTCCCACAGGAGATATGTAGCACCACATTAAGACCATTATAGCATTTAAAATGAGCTTTTAAATAATGTTTTTTTTTTTTAGTTTTTTAATTTTAGATTATGTGCTTATGTCATTTTAATAGAATAATTACAAATAAAACAATTGGTGGTGGAAAAAATATTCACTCAAAAATTGCTAGTTAATTTCAGAAATAATTACACACACACACACACACACAGGGCTGGGAAGGTTACTTTTAAAATGTATTTCAGATTACAGATTACAAAATACATGCTTTAAAAAGTAATCAGTAATGTATTTCGTTAGATTACTCCGGTTTAGTAACTTAATCTAAATACTTTAGAATACTTTGAAATACTAAGCTATGTGACACAAAGGAACATATTAAATTGATGCCTTGTTTTATGTTTTCCAACTCTAAATAAAAGTGACATCTCCCAGTCATAAGATTTGTGTTTTCTTTGAATTTTATTTTTAACAACATCAGTTTTACACAGCATTTCTATGAACAACAACAAAAATGTTATGTCATTTAAATCTACCAATCAATATAAATTAAATTTGAATACAATGAATGGGATTCCGTGCTGTTTCATGCTACATTCCAAGCTTCAAAACGACACCAAACATATCATTAAAGTAGCCAAAACAACTGGCAAAGTTCTCCAAGTTATACAATAGATTTGTTTAATGAATGGACCAAACTTTAAGTTATTACTTCACTGATAATCCTCTCTATGGAGAAGCGATCGGCACAAAAGAATCACCGAGTCAAAATTAACAGGGCTCGTTTCCCAAAGCAACTACAGTCGCAAGTAATGTCATTATAGTTCAATGTAATTTAACAACAACAGTTCGCTAACGATGCTTTTGGGAAACATACCTCAGATCTATCCATTTTGTGAACCATTCACACTGGTTTCGTTAAAGGGGTCCTATTATGCTTTTTCACTTTTTAAATTTTAGTCAGTGTGTAGTGTGTATGTTTGAGCATAAAAAAGAAAGTTAAGATCTAGAAAGTTACAAATCTCAAAGTCCACTCCAAAGGGAGATATTTAGTTTTTTTAAAATCCCTTTTCAAGAACTACAGCAAACGGCTCGTTTGGACTACAGCGTTTGGTTTCCGGGTTTTGTGATATCACAAAGCGGCTCATTGGAATATCATTTGTTATATTTGACTGTAAGTGCCCTGCGAAGTGGACATTACCGGATATTCCTCCATGATTCCAGTTTGAAGGGAGCGTATATGTTCCATACAAAGGGCATTTAAGTGTGCGAGACGTGAATTTAAATTGTATTTATTTACAGAGGTATATTATGTCCCACTTCACGCTTCTCTAGTAAGTTTCGCATGTGTGTGAAGATGCTGCAGGCAGCGGCGTAGCGCAAATCTGTAAATTAATATTCCGAAGTGAAGTAAACTTCAACGGATTTCCCCTGCTCAGGGAGTAGGGAGCAATGCACACTGTGTCAATCAGAACACAGTTCATGCACGGAGCTCACTTCTAACAAAATGATGATCTGAATCAGGAGTGTTAACAAAGAGAGACGTGCAAAACATGCAGAGCGGGGGTACGTCATTACAAATAATTCTCGCCTACAGAAATTTGAATGGTTGGGGGGTGGGGAGGGGTGAGGTTGTGGTTAGAACGCTTGGTTGAGTGAGTGCATCAGAAGAGACGATGAAGAAGAAGTGCTGCTGCAGAGTTAGTGCATCAGAGAAAACCAAGAAGAAGTGCTGCTGTGCTGTAGCTTCAAATTTTCGGCATGTCTAGAACAATTCTCACAAGTACAACACAACGTAGCTGGGCGCCGCGGAGAGACGCCGAACGGCGCCGCCGGTGTGCCTACACTCATAGAAAATAATGTATTTGAATTTTAAAGACGTGGCGCAATGCTGCGCTTCTCGTTCGGTGCGCGACCGCCTGAAACACTGCTTTTTCACCTCCGTGCCCAAACATCTTTGTTTGGGCTTCCGAAAGAGGATGATGTCCGGAAACAGTGGTTGCAACAGTGGTTGCAAACGGAGCAAGGGGCGTGGCAGTACTGAAACACTAAACTATGAATCAGATTAATCAATTATTAATTAGAATCATCTGTTCACGAATCGGATCATGAACTCCGATTCGCATTAACGCACCAAAGGTGATCTATTCTTGAACATTTCGAATGAATAAAGACTTCAAGTTCATCTGTAAAGCACACAAAGCTAT